GCGGGGACAGGTTCTCTTTAACGTGACATTAGGGGTCTATTACCTTTACACAATACTGGGAGCTGACTAACAAGAGAAAAAATGTTTTCAAGTATCTGCTTAGATTTGCTAATGCCATCTTAGCAAGCAGCCACCTAGCCTAGAATACATAAACATCTAAAGAAATACTGGGGATATTACCTCCATGTTAAGCTGGCCATACACTGGAATATTCTCTTCTTTTAACCTACGGGCTGAATGAAGAAAATATGACAGATTCCTCCAAAACTTACAAGCATTGAATGAGGAATCTCTTGCTGTATACATTGTATTCGGACAGCAGCCACGGGCCACTGTCGGAATACTGCTGGCTCTGTTGGTTCGAAGATTTTCCAACAGGCTGCTTCGATCAGCTGATTGAGGAATGCTGGCCAAAGGTTTGCAGTGTGTGGCTACTTTTACTATGTGCAGAGATCCCTGTAACTACACTACTTGGGATGTAGTTTTAACAGAGATCGCAAGTAGCCCTAAAGAAGCTTTGAAGTAGATTGTCTGCACACTTCTGGATCTTGATTGTTGCTACTTGGTGACTTTCTGGTGATTGTGGCAGCAATATTATTTGGTAAGCTCCATTTGTTATGTCATTAATAAAAAAATCGCATCTTCCTCCTTTTTCCACCAGAGCTCAGAGGAGTATGACTCTTGTGTGACTGAGCATTGTTTTGAAGCTCTGGAATGGGCCTGTAGAATGCTGCCATTCACTCGAGTTACAAACTGCGAGGAGTTGATACAAGATATTATCCTGAGCCTGATCAGCGAGCTTCCTCCTGTGAAAAAGGTAGACATATGCTACAATGAAATAAATGGCAACTGGGACAAATAAGACACTTTTATAAGAATATTCTGAATCTAGGAATTGGCAAACTGAGTAATGTCCAGCATGTTATTGCATTGCACCAAGTGAAATTCTGTCTCACACACTCTCTCTCTATCACTGTTTCTGTCTCTTTCTATTGCTAAAGATTTCTATCTCTCATTCTCTATCTCTTTATTACTCTGTTTCTCCCTATCGATCTTTAGATCTCCAACACTTGCTCTCTCTTTCAATCTCCCTCTCTTTCTGGTTTCAAGTGTAAGGTTATTTTAGCCATATTAGTGCCGTTGACTTCTGTACTTTTATTCCTTTTTGTTTTTTTGTACTTACTGATAATTTTATACGCCAAGTTTTTGAGGGGCTACCCCTTTCTTCTAGGTCCAAGAAGTACAGATACACAAAGGTTTTTCACTCTTCCCTCACTTTTACATACTGTTTTCTCAATTTCAGATTTGTCTTAAAATTTTGCTGACCTTCTGTATATCAGTACTGTAGTACTGTGTAAACCTAAAACAAGGGGCTAGACCCAGGACAATGTGTCCTGAATGATAACTGACATTGCAAAAAAGGAAATCATGTACAGAACTTTACCTAATTTAGTAAGGAAAGGATAACACTTTTTAGTTTTTAAGTCCTGACAATAATAAAGAAAGAAATTTAAAAGGCTTTACAAAAAAATTTAAACCCTTTTATATTTGAGAAAGTAGGAAGCACCAGCTTCCTACTGGAGTGTGCAGCACATGAATAGTATTGTATTGATTTAGCTGCCTTTGCTTCTTACAGGTTGCAGAGTTCATGGTGAAGGCATTTCCCCATCCCGACGATGTCCGTGTTCCATTAAGGGAGAAATTCCATTCTGTCCAACAACGCCTACGGCACTCTGTTATTAAAGGTAGTTTACACTTCTACAAGCAGAAGTTCTTTTCCTCGTAAACACAGAAAGAGATTAATTAAAAAATAGCAATGTCTTTGTGTTCAGTGGGGACTATGAATTAAACAGATTGCAGCAGGATAGAATCTTAACTTGCTACTGAAAAAGGACAATTTGCTGATATCCTGCTTGTTCCTTGCTATCATGCTAACCTAATGGCTTTAATACTTTGAGTCATGTGAATCAGGAACTGTGGCTTCTAGCTTCCGGTGAAGTTTCATCTGAAACCGACACTCCTGTAAAAGTCGATCTCCTTTGTCCCCTGCCGCATTCACTTGTTCCTTTTGGTGACCCCAGTGCCCCAATAGGACACAGTAGTGTGCTTGGGGTCAGTGGGAAGGAACTGTGGCGGGGGTAAAAGGTCAGATTAAAAGGTTTACACTTCCAGAAGTGTTGGTTTCATAAGAAACCATTTCTCTTCATTGGATCTGTGTTCATTGTTACAGGCAGTAGGAGAGGTAAGTATTCACCTTCTTTACAGGTACAGCGTTTCTGCTGTTTTAGTTAGGTGACAGGGTCACTTTCAAAACAACCAAATGCTGCCTTGCAAGATGTTATGTTATTATGAAATTCCTGTTCTTCCCACAGGACTGGAAGGGGAAGAGATGATGTCTGTTGTTACCCATAATGTGCAGAGGGTACGTGTGAAAGCTCTCAAACGTGTACAGAGGAACATCGGCCCTATGGAGATGCATGTTTGGGAACCGCCTCTGGATGAGAACATGGAGGATGAGTCACACTGTTATGACAAGTACTCGCTGGGTACCAGCCTCAGCAGGAGCACTCTTACTGACCTTGGCAGGATTTACAGCGACACAGACACCTTGTCTGATACTTTCTTTAACAATGCTGTAGAAGACAGGTACTCGCGATATACTTCTATCATCTCTTAATTTATTTTACTCATATATAGCATTTACATTCCAGGGCACTTTACAGAGAAAATAAAATCATTCTTATCAGTCCCACCTCGAGCATAGTCTGCTGTTTAATAGTGCATTCTAGGTCCACTTAGTTTAGGAGCCAGTGGGAAGAATTTGGAGCTCCCCAGAGAAAGTTTCAAACATAGGGGTAAAGTCATTTAATAGCTTATCCACACTGAACCATCTTTATTTTCAAATTATTTTGTTGAGCAATTAACCCTGACATCCTCGTGCGGAAAATTGTCATTTTTTTTTTTGCATCTGTTGCGGCAGGGACATTTTCCACCCCCTTTGTGATGTGTAGCTGCAGAGTTGGTAATGTTCATGTCATAACTGATTGGACTAGGAGGGGAGTGTGGGGAAAAGATTAGCTTTTTGAGTATATATGCAATACTAATGACTAGTTATTTTCCCTCAACTGCTTTTTTGGGCACAGCTTCCACACTTCAGATCTAAGAGATACAATCATCAAATAACACTTTTCAAGCTGCTCATTTACATAAAGTGTTTAAAGGCGCTTCAGTAGGTTTCGCAATGGCCATGCCATCCCCAAGGTGACTGGCTCTTGCCTGTGAAGCATCCAACCCCTGAATCTGTATGTGCCTGCACACTATCAGTAGTAACTTCAGATGCTCAGTACAGTCAGAGAAAAGTCAACCTGTTCCCTGCTAACACTCATGGAGTGCTGGAGACTTCACAGTGAACAGCCAGACACTGTGGTGTGTCTGGAAGAAGAGGAAGGGAGCCGCATGTGCTGTCAGCAGGTGTCAGAGAGTCAACGTTGCTGTTTCTTGATGCCCTTGTCTCTTTTTCGTTTTTGGCTGGAGTGTTTATTTTCCTTTGGTTGGATTATCTTTTTGTTTTAATTGTGTGTTCATCCTATATTGCAGGACAGGGTGGCACACCCCATTCAGTAAGCCTGTGCTTAGTGGAATGCCAAACAAAGTCATTAGAGAAAAAACTAAAGAGGGAAATGAGATGCCCATTGAGAATGAACCCGCTCTGCCTAAGGTTGGCACTTGGGAATTTGAGTGTGATGATGAAGAGTACACCAACTTCCTGGATCTATTTCTTAGCTATCTTCTGGAGAGGGACTTGCTTCATAGCACTGAGCCAGGGGTTCCTTTTCTCACTTCCTTCGCTCCGCATCTTCGAGAACGTGAGCTCAACTCTCTTGCATTTGATGTTCATACAACCCTAAAACGCAAACTGGGACGGCCTGAGATAAAAAGCGTTTTTAGAGCTGGTTCCTGCTACATAGTTCATGTGGAACCCCCGAATGAATCTGCTGTGGAAGGCACATTCACTCAGACTCAAAACACTACAGAGCCAACTCCCGTTTTGTGTTCAACGGTGGTGCTGGGGAAGCCAGTGTCCTCGGCTGAGAAATACTTTCATAAGGTTAGACCACAATCCGTCAAAAATGGCTTGTTTGGCTTACAAGATCAAAAAGCGCAAAAATGCCATGAAGATGACTGTAATTTGACTTTTTCTGGATACACATTTGATCAGTACAGCTACAGCCTCATTCAGGACAAACACTGCACACCAAGTGAAGAGCTCGGAGCTGAGCTTCAGGCCAAATACAGCAATGAAGTCAAGCTGGTGGAATGGATGATCCGTTGGTCTGACCGCAGGTTGTTCTGGTGTACAGGCAAAGCAGAATTGTGCCATGTTAGGTTCAATACCACGATACGTGTCAAGACCTCATCTGCTGCTATTCTCACATCTGTATGGCTGCTGGAAAAACCATACTTGGTAAGTGCTCACATTTAAGGGGGAACTTGTATATGTAATAAGATTTTTTTCTGAAGGAGAAACATGGGAACTGTTACTGCTGACTTCTTATTCTACAAATGCTTTATTGCTCTTGTGCTGATCATCTTTTGTATTGCTGTGAGTCACTAATCCAGAATAATTATGTAAGTGAGGACTGTCTTTGTATGGATAGTTTTGCTTGGTCAATATATCAATGCACTAAAGTCAGAGGATTTGTCAGCCTAGCATTTTCAGAAATAAGTAATCAATGGCAGTGTCCATATCTGTAGTAGGGGAAGGTTTACTTGATAGGGGTTAAAGTCCATCTAAAACCTTTAGTTTTTTCCACTCCATATTGATAAACAGGCATTTCAAGGCAAGCTGGCATGTCAAATGCCTTTTAAAAAAATGGAATTTATCTCATCTCTTAAAAAACACAGGAAGTCTTAAAGTAGAATTAAAGTCTAAGTTTTTTGCATATATCTACTGCTAGCAAGCAATAGATATATGCCACAACATAAAAAAAAGTGGGCAAATATAAAATAATTGTGTTTGCGCTGCTCCCTCCCGGCTACAGAACACAGATCAGAACGGCTGTGCAGGAGGATTATGTGGGTGGGCGCATGCACAGTCCATATTACTGGTGGGGAGAAGAAACTCAGTTGAATTCAGTGCACACAGCTGTGAGCGTGCACGCCGGGCAGACGCCATGGGACAGGAAGAGACAGCAGTCTGCGTTGGATCAGAAACTGCTGCCAGTGTTGAAAGGACTGCTGGAAACGAGTGGCAGGAAGAAGATGATCGCATCAAGAGGTATCACATAAGGTAATTATTAAAAGCAGAATTAGAATGGGAAAAAAGTGACTTTAATGTCGCTTTAAACCTTTAAAATTTAGGGTCACAATCTTACACCTTTGCTGGAATATACTGCCACCTACAAGAAGATTGAACACTGGTAAACAAAAAAATTGTAGGCCAGACCAGTGTACAACCTCTCTTACTAGCAGTATATCTTAGTTTTTTGATAGTATCCTAGGAGGATGTGCATCTTTTCTTCAGCCTGCTGTTTTAAACCCTCAAACTGTGCTTTTTTTTTTTTCTTTTTTTGGCAACTTTTTTTCTCTTCAATCCAGACTATTCTCTAAACAGCTCCAAGTGGTCTTTTTTTCTTATTTGTGGCTATCTAGTGCAGTCATATTGTACTGTGCCAGCTAATGATACCAATATCAACAGACTTTATGCTCAAAATCACCCATTTATTTGCTGATGCTGTTCTCTTGCACCCTTTCCAGCAGATTCAACATCTGATTTGCCCGCAGCATTAGTGGCTACTGAGCTGTCAGCCACAGATACTAATTCTAAGTCACTCCAATCTTTTACTGATGAGCTTACCCGTGAGCAGTCACAGTTTGCTGCTTTTACAAGTTAAGAGACTCTTAGGCTAGGTTCACACCTGCACTACATAGCACAACACCCGGGACGCGCATTCCTGGGTGTCTTGCGGTCTTGCACAATGGAGACAGCGATTGCCGCGTGGCCCCATTGATTTCAATTGGGTGACATCTGTGCGGCAATCGCAGAAAAAAAGTACAAGTACCTTCTTTTTGCAATACACGGGGTGAAGTGCCGTCTAGGTGTATGTACATTCCGCCATGTACATTCCAGGTGTAGTCATTTGGCAGGCAGGTTTCCTCAGTTGACAGTGACTAGACCAAGGGGGAGGTGGTCCCTATAGTTGAATGAGCATAGTAGTGTATCCTAAGCAGGACCCCAGAGCTGCAAGGAAGTGTCAAGTCCCGGCCATCCATTTATCTTTAATGGGCAGCTGCAGTGGTTGTGGGTACATTGTATCTCAAGTGTTTTTTAACTTTATACATTTTGAAGCTGTTGTTTCTTTTACTACAGACCTTAAAGATTTTGAAGAAGGTATGTGAAAAACCTTCTGACTACAAGAAATTGTTTTTTATTGTGCAATTACATAATTACATGTATTCTTTTAAGGTTCCCCCAAGACAGTACATTGTAGCTCCCATTGTCCCCCATGCAGTGAAACCTAGCTTACAGAGGGAACTCTCGGTGGAGGGTGAAGATTCTTTATCAGAAAGAGGGTCCCTTAGTGTTGTACATGAGGAGGATCCAGAACTGTTAGAAGAACACAGCTCCAGGTGAGTGTTTTGTTAGATTTCCCGCATTACTCCAAAGCTGCTGTCACTAAACACTTATACTACATGGAGAACTTTACTAAATCTTTTGAAACAGTAAAAGCATTGCACAGAACAACGAATCTGGTGTAATCTTTTCATTTACTGGAAAGATTAGTGGTACATTCTGGCTCGTAAATTTAAATAATTATTTCCATTCTGGACATGCTCTCTTTCTGATCTAATGTTAGGTCTAGTTTACCTGAACTTGAAACTGTGAATATTAAATTCATCTTTCTTTCTCAAATTTTCTCAATTAAAAAATGTTATGTAGATCCTAATATGGACTGTAGTTGTCTTTGTATGGGAATCAGACCTGATAGATGTATACCTGCTTTTCGCTCTGTTGGCCCGCTGTTCACCTTGCCATGGCAACTTCTCAGCACTCCTGGGAGTACTTCATTGTAGACTTTTGTCTCCTCCTGTACCTGCAAACTTTAGTCTGCTAGTTTCACAGGCACCGTAAGTGCCTTCTGCTGTGATGTGGTACCATTTTACTGCATGCAGTTTGTAGCTGCAGAACATGTAAACCGACTGATGTAAATGATAATAATTTGAGTCAGAACATCACTTTAAATATATTAATATTAAAATGTCATATATTAGTACAGTTTACACAACAGAGTGTACTTGAAATATATATGTATGTATATAATATATATATTGTTACAGTATATATATGTAGCTCAGCAGCAGCAAGCAGGAAGATGGAGAGTGCACTGTGCATGCTCTGGTATGTGAGCAAGGAAGAACGTTTGTTTCTGTAATGTTGGGAACGCGCTAAACAGGCAGGACGTCCCAGCTTTTATGCCAGAATGGTTTGGTACTGTCAGGATGGTAGTTTTATTTTGCCATGCTTCCAGCCATAGCCTGGAAGGGATCTTCGGATACTGGGTTCCGCGTAACACACTTTCCAGATCTCTGTTAAAAGTTGGCAGCAGAACAATTTGCAGGTCTAGAGTTGCATTGCCTCAATCCTTGCCCTATTCCTGATGACTCACTTTGTGAATAGGGGGTTTAGCACCAGAAGCTACCTTGTTAATAGATCAGTTAATTTCTCCACTCTCAGCTGCTTCCCACCATGAAAGGAGAACGTCATGTGGAATGTTGTTTCCTGTCATTCATCACAGAGGAAGCATCTCCCCATTGCTGCTTCTGCTTTGCAAAGAGTCATGTGGTACTTCCATCTTCAGTCTGTACCTATTTTATGGCTGCAGTGATTCTGGTAACCTCCAGCCACCTGACCCTCAGCAGTTGGGTTTTGTCGGTACCCGCAGATGCATATGAAGCACCATGTCTGATTCTAGACACAGGGGGACAGTCTTGTTCACCCAGGTGCCCCTAGCTCACGAACTCTGCTGCCACTTTTCCACTGACATGAACCTTCAGATATGTCTTCCCCAGAAAAAAACTTTAAACTCTCTGATCCCAGACTCTTCAGTCCAGGAGTCACCCAACTCTTTCCTACAAGGCAGTCTCGTTTGCCCAATTTTACTCCAAACCCCTAAATTACAATGATCTATCATAGTGAGACAAGTCAGTAAAGTCCCTGGACAGACTGATTGCTCGGACTCGTGAAAATTCCCCCAATACAAAGTGCTGATACCGGCGCTTTACATTTTTAAAATGAAGCCAGCTCTATAAACAGGCCCTAAAGACTTCACAGAAAGGCTGCCGAGGTCCCCAGCAAGATCCCGGCAGCCTTTCTGTGAATGGGGGCACTTGTTTACAGTGCCGGCCCAAATCTCCTCCTCCTCCACGCTGCCTGCACCTGCCGAGACCGACCGGGCAAGACCGCTCAGCCCACCATTAACCCCACACAGCCCAGCATAGAGCATGCATAACCACTTGAGAGTCTGCACAGCCCACAATAGACCCCGCATAGCCTACCTGAGAGCCTGCACAGTCCACCTGAGGGCCTGCACAGCCCACCAAAGAACCTGCACAGCCACCTGAGATTCCACACAGCCCACCATAGTGCCCATACAGCCCACCATAGAACCTGCACAACCTACCATTAACCCCACACAGCCCACCATAGACCACACATAGCCACTTGAGAGTCCGCACAGCCCACCAAAGAACCTGCACAGCCACCAGAGAGTCCACACAGCCCACCACAGACCCCGCCCAGCCCACCTGAGACCCCACACAGCTACCTGGCACCCTCCTCTGGAGCCATAAGGTCGGCACCCCACAGCAGCACTGTAGCTTCATATTATTCTGCATTGATGGGATTTGTAGTCCTCTTTAGCCTGTTGCCATTTTGGTATTGCTGTATAATGTATCCCTGGGATTTGTACAACTCTATAGCTGGTGGTATTCTGCATAGTTGTATAATGTATTGCTGAGATTTTTATTACGTCTACAGCTTGGAGTCAGTGGCCGAACTTCCAGTCCCTGGCACTTCACCACTGTCCTAAAATCGTTAGTCTGTATAGTTTTAGAAAAAAACTGTCATATAACGCTAAAAGAAAAGTAGGTCATTGGTATTGGCGAGTACTTGAGGAAAAGTATCGGTACTTTGAATTGTTTTTTTATTGGTGCATCCATAATTGCAAGCAATTTATATCTCATCCATTATGTCTATTAATTAGAGCATCGTCAATAGAAAGTATGGTGAGCCCTGACATGAGCCCGGAAAGGCAATCTGTAACTTCACAGGATAAGTCTGTGGATGACACATCTGTCCTGTCGGAATATCCCATGGAGCAAATCCCTGTCCCTTCAGAAACAGAAGGTGAGAACTCACTATGTATGATGCATTGATGCTGAGGCGGAGAAGGCATTGAATAGTTTTTGTCATATGGAACATTCTGACAATGGTAAATGGCAGTTTTTCTTCTTATGATATGTACTCCCTGAGTGGGTGAGGCCACATTTGTCTCACAAACTCCCTGGCATGGGAAAAAGAATAATAGTGCCCTTAATTGTTCTTTATACTTGTTAAGCAAAATTGTATTTCTCTTTAGGAATATATTTGTTGTTTGGTAAAACTAGTGGCTACTTAAATCAGAATAATCGTATCTTAGCAAGATGAGTGACAAAGTGGTATAGGAGACATGGGGTATGCCAAGGAAAGGGTGCAAAAGACAGGTTGGGAAGAACAGAAATGACAATATCATTGTTTGTTTGTGCGCACTCCTAGAATGAAATAGACCACTGGAAGTGGCTGAAGGAAGTGACTACATGTCATACACACTGTAGTTGATTTACTAAAGGAATGGAAAGTGATCACATAGCAAGTGAATGTTCACTGAGCTCGGTGATGAAGATGAAGCTGTGCCACTTCAATTGAAAAGTCCTGTGCTAGTAGATCTCTTTTTTTTAAATAACCTTGTACATAATTGGGGATTTAAAATAAGCACATTCACTCTACAAACTGACCATACACTTTTCAAAGGGGACACTGCTATGTGAACAGACCCATTATCTGCTAGTCCTTTGCTCAATGCTGTAATCACACACCGATGCCTAACAGTGAGTTACAATTGGGCAAAATGTGTGCAGCTTTACAGCTGAGCTGTTTATTATAAACTGCAACGTGTAGAACTCTGGCTTTCTTTTTATGTGCCTTTAGTGCTTGTTCGCACCAGATGCAGTGCGTTCTGGCCAGAACGCACTGCATCGCATTGCGGCCAGCTCAATATTTTGTGGGACAGGAGGGGGCATGGCGGTCCATTGAAGTGAATGGCACTGTAGCCCTGTAGGAACATTATGCCTGCGGTCTGGTCCGATCAAAATGCTGCAAGCACTATTTTGACCGGACCGCAGGCATAATGTGCCTTGTGATCCCGTGCAGCCGAGCGCATTGCGGTTGGAGGGCGTGGCTACGGTGCCATCCACTTCAATGGACCGTCACGCCCCCTCCTGCCCCACAACATAGTGAGCCGGCCCCAGTGCAATGCAGTGCGTTCGGGCCGGAATGCACTGCATCTGGTGTGAACGAGCCCTTAGACAGTTAATTGATAAGCTGTGAAATAGTGAATAGGAGGAAGTGGGGAAAAATGGCCCGCTCTCCTCCATCCTCCCTTCTCCAAGCTAGTAGATGAACAGTTGCTGGAGTCTGCACTGTCCTTTGTGATCTTGTACTGGACTGGAAGTTCAGGGAAGCAGAACTGAGAGACTTGGAAGTAGCTGTTCAGAAACTTGATGATTGTAAGTGTTTGGACAAAAATGTAAAGCAATGATTTGCTGGGCAATGTAAATTTGTTTGATCTGGATTCATTATTGAAAACAAGTTTTAGTTTGCTCATCTACTAGCTTGGAGGAAGGAGGAGAGGGGGCCAGGGGGTGGGAAGTCGCTTGATTTGCCGTCTGTGTGTCTGTGGAGACGCACACAGCTTACTACCACACACAAGGGTGACTGCATAGCACTATGCTTGAGAAAGGAGGCACTTTATAACAGGAAGTCAGGACCAGTGCTCAGGGGACCAGCTGACTCTGCAGGAAAGGAGGCACTTTATAACAGGAAGTCAGGACCGGTGCTAGGGGACCAGGTGACTCTGCAGGAAAGGAGGCACTTTTTAACAGGAAGTCAGGACCAGTGCTCAGGGGATGAGCTGATTCTGCAGGAAAGGAGGCACTTTATACCAGGAAGTCAGGACCAGTGCTAGGGGACCAGCTGACTCTGCAGGAAAGGAGGCACTTTATACCAGGAAGTCAGGACCAGTGCTAGGGGACCAGCTGACTCTGCAGGAAAGGAGGCACTTTATACCAGGAAGACAGGACCAGTGCTTAGGGGGATCAGCTGACTCTGCAGGAACGGAGACACTTTTTAAGTGTTTGTTTTGTCTAAGGAACTAAAATAGCAAATATATACTCACCCGAACCTTGATCCTGCTTAATGGCTAGACTGGTCCCTGCAGCCTCTCTTTCCCTCTGCTCCAGGGGTCTAAGGTCTGGTGAGTCATCACGTCCAATACATTGTACACACCCTTGCAGTGTGAGCGTAGCCCTATTGCAAAACGAGTTCATTTTGTTTTTGCCAGGAGATTGTCTTTAAGGCTATGACATGGTAGAGATAACAAAAGAGAAAAGTGTAAAAAAAAATGACATTAGTTGATAACAGTAACTCCAGTTAGTTTCAGGCTAATTCTTTATATTTTTTTCCCCACAAGATGACCAGCCTGACACCCAGAGAAGCCCAAAAATCTCAGTTAGTATATGTCCTGTGCCAGCACAAGCAGAGGTATGTAAATCAATCAAGTCAGAAAGTAACCCAAACTAAATGTGACCTCTGATATTACTACAAATCTGATTCATTACATGTGACGCATCTATTGTACAGAATGTATACTCTGAAGTGGAAGAAAATGCAGAGGATCCTGAACAATCATCTGTAGATGAAATACCGCAACAGTTACAGTAAGTTTAATTCTGGTTATTCCTTGTGTGCCTCTGAATGTATTCAGTAGGGGAGATGTGCACACAGCTGAGCCGGTATTCTCATGACACATTTATAGGAAGCCCATGTTTTGTCTGCACATAATGTAAAATGTCATCATTTCTTAAAGCACACAAACAGGGAACAGAAAGAGGTCTGTTAGCGTGTGGATTCATTAATGGCGGCATTAGTTGCTGTGGAGATGATACACAGTCAGTGAGTAAACATGCCAGGCTTGATTAAAGGGCTATAACAACAGAGAGAAGCCAACTGACTAGGACACCGCACCAGAACTAAATGCAGTATTTATGAATTCAGAATGGTCACATGCAGTGCGTACAAATGAAAGTACAAAGATTATACAGGTACATGTTTTGATACTTCGGAAATCCTGATTTGCAGGTTTGTTTTAATGATTGTGTTTGTGTGTGGTTTGTTTTAGCAGTGACCCCACCATATCTAGTGGCTCTCCACTCCCACAGCCTTCACCCAGTGTCACAAATGTTCCTCTACCTCCTGCTCCCTCTACCAACGTGCCAGAATTTTCTAATGGAGGACAAAGCACTCAGCCTGCCAACACCTCAGAAGCCGTCAGGCAGCTGTTCCAAGATGAAATGTTTCGACTACTTCAGGTAAAATCTATGGCTCCTGGGCAGTTTTCTTTTGCTACTGCTAGATGCTAAATTATCAGGGCAAACAGTACACTTAAATATATTTCTCCATAGCCACAAAGGATATAAATGCACTTTATGTGTACCACATGTCCTTGCCTTGTGGCAAAGTTGTTAGCTCTTCTGCCTTGCAGCACTGAGGGTCCCTGGTTTTTTATTTATAATTGAAATTTTGTTTTTTGTTTTGTTTGTTTTTAGCTTCAGCAAGTCAACTTCATGAGCTTGATGCAAGTTGTGGGGTCTTCCTTTGCTGCCCTGCCAGCCATCCAGCAAGTCTTGCAGCACACAGCACAGATGACAGGGAACCTAGTAGCCAACCCTACAGTGGGACAGGCTCCACTTCAGTTCATTCCACCAGCTCCACTTCAGTTCATTCCACCAGCTCCACAGAATGATGCCCGTCCACAGACACAGAGGGTTGACATACAGCAAGCATTGGAGATTGAAGCGGGTGAAGCTGCTGAGACAAAGCCTATAAATCGCTCAGGCAATAAAGAGAATCTGCAGGTACATTAATGCATTTCTCCATACAGGCATAGAATGCCATTTTTTGTGTTTGCATACAATGAAGGGAATTTATCAAAACTGGAGCAGGCACAATCTGGAGCAGTTGTGCATGGCAACCAATCAGCTTCTCTCTTTCATTTGCAAATCTTAACTGAACAAACTGAAGAGAGAAGCTGATTGGTTGTCATGCACAGTTGCTCCAGATTTTGTCAGCTCCAGTTATGATAAATTCCCCCCAATATGTCTATCAGTTATAAGGGATGTTCAGATACCAGTGGCGATACTTGGCATTTTCACGAGAACTACCAGGGTTGTAGCGGTTGCAGCTGGTACCTGGCTCTGGTGCTCCACCACTGTCCTGAATTTATTAGTTTGGACTGTTTTAGAAAAACTGTCGCATGTCAATAAACAAAAATGTATCAGTACTTGTATCTGTGAGTACTTGGACAAGTATGAGTACTTGTACTTGGAAATAAATGGAAACGGTGCATCCCTAATATATATTTATAACAAACATATCATACATAAAACAGAGATGTACAAATCCCAGGACCTATGTGTGCTCCTTAAAAATGACAGCTGCCTCCTAATTTTTTAATTTTTGTCTAGTCTTGGAGCTGGAAAAGTATCTGTACATGTACTTGTACCCAGTCCAGTACTTGGTATCTGAACATCCCTATCAGTTATCCCTGTAGCAGCTGTATTTTGTACATGCACAGGATGTCCTCATTAATCAGAGCTTAAAGCGGATCTTTCAGTAAAATGCAAGGTCCACTCAGATTGCTCCAGCCACTTTCCTCTTTGCAGATCAGCTACTGTAAGTAGGTGTAAAATGTACCTGTAAAGAAAAAAGTTAGAAGAATTATATTTGCATTACCCAAGTCTTTCACGTCTCTGGGCAAAGATCATCCTTCCAGGAAGATACCTGGGGATTGGAAACAGGCTACATTTTGCGAGGAAACACTCCAGTCCATTGCATAGAGCGTCTTCTCGCAAGGTATTCACTGCTTTGTATTAGCTGGAAGTGTTAGTGGTGTGATTTTACACCAACTAATAGTAGGTGATTTGTGAATGGGGAGCTGGACCTTGCATTCTAGTGCCAGGTCTGCTTTAAAGGCCAAGTTCACCTTTTCTACTAGAATTGCACCTTTCACAATGAATACACGCCTTTCTTGCTGGGTATGGGTTTAGTTGAAGCACTAAGATCTTGAGGAATGCTGAATTAAGTTTTACTTAGAAGAACATTATATTTACAGCATACAGAGAGAACTTCCTGTATATATCATAGATAAGTATGCATATAGAAAACTAACATAGACTAGCATTGCACCACAGCTCAAAATACATAATTACGGTCAGTAATACAATCATTGTGCTGTTGCATTTCCAACATTTCTTATGTTTTTTCCTGTTCAGGCAATCCTTAATTATTTATTTCTCACTTACCCCCGACTGCCTTGTAACTGCACCCTCTCTGTTCTAAAATCTTCCTAAGCTCCAGGCTTCCTGTAGCAGCAGGCATTGAGATGGAGGAAGAGAATGGTGGACCAGAAAGGGGTGGGTGGAAGCAGTGTCTAGGAGAGGTGTCTCAGTGTGGTGAGCAGAAGCAGTGGCACACTTTACAATGAGCAGTGCCCCAATGATGTCAGTCGCAACAGGAGGCAGAGATCTTACAGGCCAATGGCTGGAATATCCTGCCTTTAGCACTGGAAACTTGACTAGATGCTGGGAGCAGTTTTTGTGCACAAGGCTATGGGTTGCTGGTGGTGGGCCTGGCCCCAGAAGCTATGGATTCCTTTGATCTTCTTGACAAAGAGGTATATTAATACGGTATTGGGAAATAGGGAAGCTGTACTGTTAACATAACAAAAAAAAGTCAAAGGGCATTTAATGAGTGATTTCACCCAGCAGACTACTGAGGACATCTAGGGGTGTAAAGGAATTACTGTGGGTGACAGCTCCATAGAGCAGGTGAATGTTGCAGCCAAAGCTGATTACTTGGTTGTAAAAACCTGCAAGGGGACTTTTTAAAAAAAAAACAATTTACCTTGAGTTGTACTTTAATATATTTATTGAATAATGGAGGTTCTGAGTGTTCCTGAGACATGACTGTAATCGTTTGGTGGGGATCAAATGTTAAAAAATGATCTGAATCCTGAAAATTATTTAGTAATAATCTGTTTAATTAGATAGGTACCCTTGCACTGTCCATATGGCCCCCCAGTTTCGCACAGGCATTGTGTCGACTTATTTGTACTTAATTGTGTGGCATGATGTAGATGAGCACACCAAAATATGCAGCATTTCAGACTTTACACTGTCAGTGTGAGCAGTTCCGTTAAATGGAATGTTTGTGCGTGTTTTTTTTTATTACATTAGAAATAGCGTTGTATGTATGGACATAGAAATAGCACTGAATGTATGGATATAGAAATAGCACTGAATGTATGGACATAGAAATAGCACTGAATGTATGAACATAGAAATAGCACTGAATGTATGGACATAGAAATAGCACTAAATGTATGGATATAGAAATGGCACTGAGTGTATGGCTATAGAAATAGCACTGAATGCATGGATATGGGAATATCACTGAATGTATAGATAGAGAAATGGCACTGAATGTATGGATATGGGAATATCACTGAATATATGGACATCGATATGGAAATAACACTGAAAGTATGGATATAGAAATAGCATTGACTGCATGGATATGGAAATATCACAGAATATATGGACATGGAAATAGCATTGAATGCATGGATATGGGAATATCACAGAATATATGGACATGGAAATAGCATTGAATGCATGGATATGCAACCAGTGTAAGAGAGTGCTCATTCTGTTCTAGACATCATGGGATGTGTAGCCAGTACATTATGGGCAAGTTATTTAATATACTGTATATATTGTAAAACTAAAACAAAATTTCACTAACAATACATTTTTGTAGCTGACACTGTTCTAATTTGTTTTTTGTATACAGAGACCTCCCGAGATTAATATTCCATCCAGACAGGTTAATGAAAGTGAAAGAATTCCGGCAAGTTTGGGATTATTAAGTACTGCTCCTCACCAAGTCCTGCCTTTAATTACACCTGCGTCACCACAACAGAAGACCCTGAATCTCCAGCCACCTGCAGGATCGAGTAACTTCAATGGATTTCCACTTCTTACATTGAACACAGCGCCCACTCTGATGCCAGTAAACTTACTGTCTGGATCACAAGCTAAACATTCCTCAAGACTTAAAGACCGTCCTCCACTTAGGGAGGCATGGGGGCCATCCAGTGCTCTTAAACAGGACCCCAGTTGTCAATTATCCAGTCACCCAAACCAGCCTCCATCTTATCTTAGCAGTTCCAGCAATAAAGCTGGCAAAAGAACAGAGGAAGCAATAAAATGGGCCCAACCTGTGATAAAAGGGCACTTAAAACATTCTGCTGGCAACCTGTTTAAGGCAAATATTTATGTTAACCAACCATTCAAATCAAAGGAAAATAGATGGAGACCTGAAGGAAGTTTGCTGGAAGTGTCACAAAACAATGCAGGAATGCCCTTACTACGCCTTCGTACTAACCCAGCATTGTATCTCCCATCCATGCAAAGTCCCAGCTTTACTGTATCAGTGGTGCCGCCTCATTCAGAGACATCAAACCAGTCAAAGGGACTACCAATGGCTGGATTTACTCTGCTAAAAGCCGGTCTACCCCAACAGATTCAGGTAAATTATAAACAAGATCATTCTTGTAATTCTACAAGGTATGTGAGATGCTTTGCTGGAGACTTTGCCTGGACCATCGGCTAAATTACCTGTGAGCCCCACAAGAATTTCCTTCCTAATTCTGAATCTTTGGAGAATTGGATAATTATACCTTCTATTGTTTCTTACTTAAGTATAACCTAATTAATGATTTGACTAATAGGCCAGCATGTGATTCTGGAGTTTAGTTTGAGTACTAACAGCCAAGCATGTTCTGACAATCTTGTAGGGCACCAAGCTAAAGAAAATCTGAAACTATTCAGGCTTAATCGATTAATTGGCCGATTATTTTTTCGATTTAATATAAAATATTGATATTACTATAAAAATAAATTACAGAAATTCAGTGTTACAAACAATGTTTACTTCAGAATAAAACTGTATGCACAATTGTTTTCAATCGCATTGCCCTGGTATGCGCAACATTGCAGTACCGTGCATTCCAGTGCGGGCGATTACACTGTGGGTGGGAGGGGCGTTTTGGGTGCCATTGAAATGAATGGCACTGCAACGCACCTCCCGCGGCAGAATTTGTCAGGCTGAAACCGAAAATGACTTTTTTCCCCACCTTTTTATAATAATTTTTTTAATAATTGTAAGCACATGGCTCTTGAATAGCTTCAACCAGGGAATGACCGCTGCCAGTGGCAACAGTCCGCAGACGGCAGCTGAATGTGAATACAGCAGGTAGTGGGCTGGTGCCATTTTAAATTGCGATAGCCAATAGCATGCTGGCTATTGCACCCACCCACTGCTTGCTGTGCCCTCCTCCCATTGTGGAGGAGAGAGCTAGGGGATCCAACCAACTAATCCATAATGAGAATATTATCGATTAGTTGGTTGCAGCCCTACATTAGTTTTCTGTTTTTATTCTCTTTTTTACTTTATGTTCACCTGGTGATCCAGCCAGTAACACACTTCCTGTCTTAGGGTAATTCCACTGTATCTATAGAGGAGCAACATAGCCACGCTGGTCCGCCGCATTGTCAAACAATAGAGAGGGTAGTGTAAGAGGGAGTAGAAGTTTTAGATAGACTTTACATAAGTGACTAACAAATTGAAGCTTAACTCCGTGCTAACACTTAAGCAGTTACAGATACCATGTTTTTCCTTTTGGAATAAAGGTTTAAACTAAATACGTAATAGCTGACCATTGTAAGCACCACTGTCAGTGTTAAATGGTTTGTCTCAACCCTCTATATGCCACTTTTACTGGACAGCTTGGTCTGTTAAAAGAAGTTGACCATTAGCACATTTACTGGCTGGATCAGCAGGTGATGATAAAGCTATGTTATGGGGGGACTCAGAGAAAAGGCTGTTATTCTATTGACTTACTGCATTATATATGTACTTTTGCCCGTAGTTGCTGAGTGCCGCACACGAGAGGGGGGAGGGGCAGGACGTCTTAAGACGCCCTCCCGCTCCTAGCAGACGTCCGGCCGTTCACAAACGGCCATGGACAGAAGGTAGTTAAAGTGAATCTGTCAGAGATATAGACTGGCTGCAGTTGCTGATCTTCTTCTGAAAATGCTAGTTGTCTGGCTGTTATGCTGGCCCCTGGGTTCCACTTTGTGAATGGTTGACCTGGAACAAATATGCAGAATAGGAAAGGCAGTGAAAGTCAGAAGTTGTTATTCTGGGTCAGTGACCCAAAGTATTGAAGCCAGAAAGACAACCAGGCACCTAGCATTTTTAAAGATCAGCAGTGGCTCTTGTGACAGAGAAACAAAATGGCGGTTTTTATACTTCTCTGCATGCACGGCTTCTTTTCTGAGCTACTATGTGATGCATTAATGATGGACAGGGCTATATTCAGGTTAATGTCATTTGAAGGAGCCATTCTTTGCTTGTCATGCCTGCCAGATATATTGTAATTGCTAAAACAAACCCTGAAAAATGTGAGCAGGTGGGAGGAGCTTGAAGACCACAGTAGAACAAGTCATGAATATGAATAAAGAAAGCTAATTAGATATAATATATACATTTTTACTGGTATGAAACGTGTAGGTAGCGGAGAGCACTGGTGTTAATCCTGTCACTCCTGTTTGACTGATCTGTGAGACATGGTGTGTTATGTTTTGTCAGAATCTGCAGATCAGTCCCGCTCCTAGGCTCATCCCCCTGCAGAACTTGATTGCGTTTGAACGAGATGCCGCACAAAAAGGAGAGCCAGGAAGTATACAGCTGCTGAAAGCAAACATCCAGCCTTTTGAAGAAGTGGGGAATTCTGAGGATAGTATTAAAAGGTACAGAACAAAATATAAAATAAGTATCTGTTCTATTCCTTCTACAAGTTGTCAGATGCTGGAGTGAGTCTTGAGAGACTTGTGTTCCTCATTCTACATTTCACAATGGATTCTTCAATATCCTGTACATGCACAATGGAACAACATGGGCAGTTTAAAGCTTCTCTTTTTAATAAAGATATTGCCAGGGTGATTCCATACTGGCCAGTGTTGGTCTGTGCCAGTGACAGGTAGTTTATCAACTGCTTGCCAATGTAAATCCCCTATGATTAGTCCAGAATTTACACTACTCTATGACGCATTAAAAGATATTGGGGGGAATTAATAAAAACTGGAGCTGTTGTTGCATTACCATATCTGTACCACTGCGCCCGGCTACCTGATTGGTCAAGAAGCCAGGCTGCCTCGCAGTGTCGCTAAGTGGCATGAAGCCAGCTTCCTAGTCAATCCGCTGCCCAGCTTCCTGATTGGCCGGAAAGCCGGCTCCATGCTCCCTCCCGGGCACTGTCTGTCAAAGGGAATCTCCCTCTGACCGGCCATTCCGGTATCTGGGTATTTATCGGAGCATTTGGGCGAGTACTCATACTTGTCCAAATGCTCGACATCGGTATTGGTGCAACCTTACTATCCACTCAGCCACTGTACTGCTGCTCTGCAGACTAACAGCAGCTGGTAACTGGATTATGGAAAATGCCTGTACAGTCCTAAGAAATTATGTATATGTCTTCAAACACCTTTTTTAGATCTAATAAAAACTGTGTTTTAGTTATATATTCAGACCATAGCAATCTGCCATTTCTAAATGTTAAAAGAGAACTAAAGCCAGACCTTTTTTTTTTTTTGGCATTAGTCATCTTTCAGGCCAAAAGAATCCATTTACTAATGTTCTCCTGTGATGCAAAGTCAGCATATAGCAGGCTACTGTCTGGTCTTTGATGACAGTGCAGAGCCGCGCTGCAGCTGGGAAAGATTCCGACAATTAGGGATGTCCCGATACAGATGCTAGCATCGAAATCGGGACCGATACAGGGCATTTTGACAAGTACTTGTACTTGTCAAAATGCTCCGATACATAGCGTCGAAGCTTGCGATACATGCCCCCGATACATAGCGCCAAAGCTCCTCCCACCGGCCCTGGTCCGGTGGGAGGAGCTCTTTCGGCGCTGGTCCTGTTCTGTCGACACTGAGAACTCATCGACCGCGCGTACCTCCGACGTCGCATCCGGGTACTGCCAGTAGGTCAGCTTCACATAAGGACCTTCCTCGCATGCGTTGCCACTCACCATGTTGATTTATTTAATATATAAGTTTATTTATGTATTTATTTTAATAGTTGAAATGCACAGCTCAAGCGCAGTGTATAGTTTGCGAACTATACGACGAGAAGGGCACGCAAGCGCAGTGCATGGTAGTTGAACTGGCCAGGAGCTGTGTGTAGTTGGAGAAGTTAATGGCCGTGAGGGACGCAGGTGCAGTGTGGAGGTGTAAGGTTCGCATGAGCGGAAGGTCCTTATGTGTAGCTGACCTACTGGCAGTACCCGGATGCGACGTCAGAGGTTCGCAAGGTCGATGAGTTCTCAGTGTCGACAGAACACCGGCGACTGCCCAGAGGACCTGTGGGCAGTCGCAGGCCAGCTAAATTAGGACCCCACCTGGAGCTCCTCCCACCAGACCAGTGCCGACTCGCCGCTGCTCTCCCGCACAGCGCGACCTCACCAGCGAGGCAACTAACAGTGAGTGAGTGAGTGCCTGGTGTCCCTCATAAGAACGATTTATTGTATTAGCAGGGGAAAATAGTACATTATTGTCTGCAGTGTTTACTCTATATGTACTACATATAGAGTACACACTGTAGCAATAGATTTACTATTATCCCCTGCTAATATGAATAGATTAAATGATGCCTAGTACATAACATGTAATTGTACTACGGATCATTTAACCCATTCATGTTAGTCGAGGAAAATTGTAAATCTATTGCTGCAGTGTGTACCGTATATGTAGTACATATATACAGCACACACCTCCACTATACTACAGCAATAGAGTTACAATTCTCCGCTGCTAACATGAATAGGTTAAATCATGATCTATTGTACATAACATGTAGTTGTATTATGGATCATTTAACCTATTCATGTTAGCAGAGGGATAATTGTAACACTATTACTGCAGTGTACTGGAAGTGTGTACCAGGTTAAATGATCCATAGTACACACTTCCAGTACACTGCAGTAATAGAGTTACATTTCTCCCCTGCTAACATGAATAGGTTAAATGATCCCTGAGGCACATGCATGATTGAATTTGTAGTTTCACAACAGCTGTGTGAAAGAAAATACAAGCGTTTTATTGTTCTAAAATAGTCATAAATTAAAGTTCTTCATAATCATAAAGAAATTGGCCTAAAATCATTAGTCTGCATTGTTTTGTTTTTTTTAAATGTCACCTGTCCCTTTAAGAAAAAGTATCGGTAATTGGTATCGGCAAGTACACGAGGGGAGGTACTTGTACTTGGTCGTGAAAAAGTGGTATCGGGACATCCCTACCGACAATATTATTGGGATCCATCCCACTGCCTGATTGACAGCTTGCTCTGCCTCTCTAGAGCCAGCTGTGCCTGCCTCCTCCCCTTTTCTGTTCCTCCAATGAGTGCTGGAAGATCATAGAGGGGAGGGCGGAATCTCTGTGGGGAGCAATGACTGACAGTTACCGCTCTCTGCAGGGAGAAGATTGTGAGCTGAGTGATCAGCGGTTTGCGGTCGCTCAGTTCTTGATCTATAAAGCTGGCATGTGACAGCTGCAGTGTCATACGCCAGCTCTAAGTATTGGAAAGAGTATATTTTACTTCTCCTTTTAATTTACCAAAATGCAATGCTTGCCTAGAGGTCAACTCTTTTCCGCAAATTATAAGGGAGGGTAAGAAAGCAACCAATTAATTGAATAGCATATCTTCTATTTTAGACAAAGGAGACGCAGTCAGAAAGATAAAGGTGAGCAGAAGGAGAAGAAAACATCTGTTACCTTTCGTCCAGATATCTCCATCATCACTCCAAATAACTTTGATGAGGTTGTGCAAAACGAGGTAAGTTCATTTCCATCTCTAGGCCATGATGTATCACTGACTTTGTACAGCGCCCCTGGAGGGTTGTAATGACACGGATTATCTGTGCAATAACTAGACATTTGTTCTTATCTCTAGAAAGTACTTCATGATGAACCGAATTTAAAGGAGGATAATGAATTTGTAGTTCCGTTAGGTAAGTAAAAGTTCTACGAAAACATTTTAAGGGAGAAGACTCACTGCTATTTTCACAGTTAAAATATGTAAGCGCCTTACCTGACAAAAAATGTTCGATTTTCCTTGGTTTTCTAGTGCAGACATCCCTGCCATACACCGCTGTCAGGTTGTGACCTCATTTGCCTCTGCTGCAGTTAAAGCAATACAGTTTGTTTAAAGAGAAACATATACTAGCGTCCTCCCGTGACCCAAAGCTCAGTATATCGCAAGCTACAGCTCGCAGTATACTGAGACCGCCGCAGCCGGAACGGATTTCGACAATGCTGTCGAGATCCACCCAGCTGTGTGAATGACATCTAGAGGCAGAGCCAGCTGCGCCCGCCCCCTCCTCCGTCTGTTTCTCCACTTAGCACTGGAGGGTGAGGGTGGTATCCCTGCGGGGAGCGGTCACTGACAGTCACGGCTCTCTGCAGGGAGATGATCGAGAAGTGAGCGAGCGACGGTATGTGTTCGCTCACTTCCCGATCTATTGAGCCGACGTGTGATAGTTTCATTGTCACACGTCGACTCAAACTATGACGATGAGTAATATTCACTCACCTCATAGTTCTCCTTTAAGGATGGTCCCAGCCTTTGATTGGATAGTGAATGATCAGCAACACACTAACTTTTAGCTCTTTCCTCCATCATGTGTTGAATATAAGTACCTCTGTCTCTGCACACTGCTATATGTTTAAACACGTTTCTTACTAAATCACTTTTAAAGCAGAACCGGTCATTATTCAAAGTAACAAGGTCAAAAAAAAAAAAGCACCAAAAAGTCTCCAAGTAACTTTTTAAAATCCAAAATATTTCAGAAAGCCCCCTGTGTTGCACACTGTTTACAATGGTCCTCTCCTATTTCCATGGTTGAAATCATCCTAAAAAAATATTGCTATGGCAATAGCTTGCGCCAACCCTGTCACAGTTTCTTCTCATACAAGGTGGTCATAGTGATTCTGGAATTGAGGGTTTATTAACCCCTTCATAACTGAGGCCTTTTTTCATCTTTTGTTTACATGTTATAATCCACATTTTGGGCCTTAAAATTACTTCAAACATTAAGTATAATAAAATGGTTGCAGTTGCAAATTTTTATGTTGCTTGATATTAACGCAACTCCTTATCAAAGGACATTTAGTGAAATATGCACTTAAATGCCCCAAAACACAATAAAATACCAATTTAAAAAAAATAAAATATAAAAGATGAGGTTACAATGAGTAAAACCTGTGAACCTGTTCTATGGGGCAGAGTTACACTATTTGGCTTCCCTATCGAAAAGAAGCGATATACACTATACGCCACTGGTCATGAAGGGGTTAAATCAACTATTTTCTTTGCCCATAAGGGTCACTTAACTACCCCCTTCACAGCAACATATATGCAAATATACTCGCTCCTGGCCTGCTCTGTTCTGTTGCTAGGACTAGGGAAGGAGAGCCTTGTGTAAGATCCAAAATGAGTTGCATACAGGGCTATGTTCTACTTCCCCAGCCAATGTGACAACGCCGAGCCAATTGAGGAATCCACATTGTCACCGAAAAGACAAAGTGAGTCGTTTGCACACCTTTGCCAGGCAGTACTGGCTATTTCACTTGGCTTCTGGCAGTTGAACAGAGCAGCAGTGAGATGAGGAAACATGGTTAGTGTTGCTGGGGAAAGGGAGAGTTTAGTGACCCTTTTGCTTTGTCTTCCATGGGAAACACGGGGGTCACTCTAAAGAATGTTTGTTGCATCACTTTGTGGCCTATTCAGCTAACAGTGGTGCATGCCCAGCATGTTTGTAGCATGCAATATCTGATGTGAAGATATTTTTTTCAGGCACCTTTGAATCAGAGTTGACAGATCAGATCCCGGGCCCTTTGTTTCCCACTATGGCAGAGTTACACTATTTGGCTTCCCTAACGAAAAGACCACCTGAGGTTCACAATGCGAGCACCAGCACAGACTATGGTAAGTGTGCTTAATCCTAAATGTCACATTCGGGTGACAATTTATATGGACCAACCCCCCCCTCATTATCCAGATGAAGAGCGCTCGCTCGCTCTGTTACCTCTCACTCATAAAGCAGGTGACAAACGGTCGATCACGTGAATTACAATCGTTCATTTTGTAAATGGTCACGTATCTCCAATAAAGTATGTAGTAAGAAAGACCTTCAAATGCCACCCTAATCCATTCTCCTCTATGGAACCAAACCATTGACCATATGTAGAGTAGGTTATAAGCACTCTTCAATTGCTGTCCAAAAGATTATACATTCGCTTTAAATAAATGGATTCATTGGTGGTGGATGTGTTCAGTACATTGATCTATATTGCTTATTAAACCTGTCCATCACTGCTTACTATGCTGACCTATCTCCTGCTCCTTTCATCCTTTACTATAGCCGGCAAATCTTTAATGGACATGGGGACAAGCTATGAAGCATTTTCTAGCAGTCCGGTGGTGGCATCTCCTCCTGCTGCAGGTCTACTCCATGTGCTTTGTTTATTTGCATGCTAGTTTGGCCCTTTGCAGTGTCCCTTTATATTGTAATTTATAGAATATAAACTGTAACATCTTCTGTCCTCTGATTGTAAGGACTAATTTCATATTTGTCATTTTAATATAGATTATCAGTTGTAGATTTATTTTGTTATCCATATAGGGGGATTGTCATATTGAAGAATATATGTGTATGCAACCCTC